CCTGCGCCCAGGCACAAGTCCATGGGGGCACCAGACAAGGTGTGGAATGACATTCTAAGGTACCTGGACAAGAGGGAGGAGATGTTCCTGTTGACCCTTAGCCATGACCGACATCTATTCATCTTGAAGGGGGTGGGGTGCCTCCAGCCTTGAAGAGGGGGAAACCTAGACACTGCCTCTGGGCACTCATTCCCCTTGCTGCACCTCCACGGGGACACAATTTCAGAGCTTGTCATAGGTTCTGTGACTTGCCTCTGGCAGCAGATAATTGTCTTCAGGGATCCTCGGGGGCTAAAGGTGGTGAAACATGTGGCTGTGAGCTGAAAGGCTGGCAGTGAGAATCCACTCTGAGGTGCTGTGATAGAAAGGCCTGGCGATCTGTTTCCCGAAGGTCAGAGCCATTGCAAACTCCACAGAGGAGAGTTCTACTCCGTGACACACCTAGTTGCCATGCGTCAGGGTCAACTTGTTGACGGCAGCTTTGATTTTCTCGGCTGACTATTCTTTCAGAGAACATACCTCCCCAAAGGATCTGCCTCTCTTTTCTCCAAGTCTCTGCTCAAGCAGCCATACTTCTGAGTTGCCGTATTGCCCAAGAGGTCCTTATTAGGAAAGGGATGATGTACAAGTGAGCACAAATGTTCCCATCGTGGTCCTCCTTATGAACAGATAAGCTCGACCTCTGAGCATGTCTACAGTTTGAGTCAACCCTCCAGAAACGTCCATGAGCTCACACGGAACAAAGTAGGCACCTCATAGGCAAGTATGGGTTTACAGGCACGGTAGTCATGCCCGCGGAAAGGACTATGGATTCAGAAGACTCGGTTTGTGGTCTGACTTCCCTGCTTAACGAGACTTAAGTTCCTTCCCTTCTCTGTGTCTCCATTCTGGTTGCCCTAGATCACATCTATGAAAGGATTCGGTCAACAGTACATACTAGACGTGCTTGCAGATACGGCGTGCTCTTACTGAGGTAAGCACCTGAGCAGAAACATGGTGCTTTCCCTAGTGTTCTCCACGCTGTGGGCCCGGGTCCCTCGGCCAAGCCCCGGGACTCTCTCCATGAGCACTGAGAAGGTGAGCAGCACTTGCTTACCTGGATGTTCCCATCGTAAGTGTCAGAGAACGGGACGGCTTGGAATCTAACGTCTTGCTGGCTGATCTCTTTGCTCAAACAGTGGACGACTTTCTTCACCTCCTCCACCGTCTGGGAAATCAGCTGTTGCCTCAAGTCCACCTGGGTTTGGAGAGGTCAGCAAAGGTGGTTATTTTAGGTGCAGGCCCTTGAGGGAACGGACCAAATACAGTGGAGACGAGGCCACGGTGGCAAAGGGCCAGAGGAGTTGAGCTCAACGAAGGCTGCCCACCCCCAGGGGCATCAACTCACATGTTCGGTTTAGGGAAATCGATGTTGGTAAGAAATGCAACGGAAGCTTTAGCAAACTCGAGTCAAGCCAGGAAAATTCAAATTAAAGAAGAGATGGGAAGCATCTGCATTTTTTCCCTGAAGTGCAGAGGGGATGGGGGTGGGGAATCTTTGATTCATGGCTGAGTGAGTGTGCACTGCAGGCTGGTGCCAGCACACTAAGTCTCCGTCAGAGACACAGCCGCCTCTGGGGCTGGTCTTCAGCAACGTTGGATACATCGGAATGTAAGCTCCATTCATGAATCTTCCTCTTCTTTCAGAGTTTGGTGTAATGGCTGCTTCTATATATTCTAGAACAGTGGTTTTCAACCTTCCTAATGCCGCGACCTTTTAATACAGTTCCTAGTGTTGTGGTCATGCCTGCCGCCCAACCACAAAATTATTCTTGTTGCTACTTCATAACTGTAATTTTGCCACTGTTATGAATCAGCGACTCCTGTGAAAGGGTCGTTCGACCCCCAAAGGGGTCATGACCCACAGGTTGAGAACCGCTGCTCTAGAAGAAGTTCTGGTGTGCAAAAGGCCCAGCAGTTGGCGGCCAACTGAAAGGTCAAGCCCACCCACTGGCTTCACGAGAGAAAAGCCTGGGAATCGCTCCTACAAAGATGGCAAGAAAAATACCCCCTGCGGAGCGATGCGCTCTGTCATATGGAGCGGCTGGGCGCCAGCGTCACCTCCACAGCCGCGGCATGTAGTCGGGAGTACTTGTGAGATGCCCGCAAACTGATTAAGACATCGTGTGTGTGTGTGTGTGTGTGTGTGTGTGTGTGTGTGTGTGTGTGTGTGTGTGTGTAAAGCCAGAGTCACAGAGATTTCTGCTTTCCTGAGCTACATCCTCATCTGCGCCCTTGTACCTCCCACCACCAACAAGCCAGCTATGCACCCACCTGGAAGACACATGCGCATGTGGTGCGGGTTCAAATACATGACAGCCCCTATAATGTCTTGATAATTTAGAAGCGTCTTTATTCGGTTATAACTGAACGGTTAGAATCTAAAAGCAATTCTTCGATTGCAGTCCCAGGTGGGCATTTCAGTCCATCTTTAAAGACCAAAAACTCATTTATCACTTGTCTAGTACTCGAGCAAGCGTGAGCAGAAGCAGAAAGCAAAATTAATGGGTTAATTTTAACTTCAAGAAAAGCAAGCATGCATTACCAAAATTGATTATAACATCCTGGTTACCATCACAAGATGATCATAAAGGAAACAATATTAAAATTGATGATTAGGTCCCGGTTATCATGACAAGACTAATTATACCATTCAGATTACAATATCAAAAAGAGCAATATTGAAAAATAATCAAAACAAATGATATATTGAAAAATAGTCTAAACAACTGTAGTGTACTGAACCTGGCGACGTGGGAATATTCACCAGCAGAGACTTTCCCATGGGGAGGGAGAGCGGGCAGGTCAACTAGCTGTCGTCTTTCTGAGACGGGAGGGAGGAAGGGGCACGTCATTTAGCAGCTTACAAAACTGGGGTTTCTTTTGCTCATCGGCCTCACACGCACATCTCATGACACCACTGCCTGTCAGTTGTGGTCCTGTGGTCCGTTGCTGTGATGCCACAAGCTTTGCCACTGGGCTCTCAGGTACCAACAGGCTCCCACATGGTAGACAGGGTTCCGTGGAGCTTCTAGACTCAGACAGAGTCGGAGGCTAGGCCTGGGGATCTGCTTCTGAAAATCAGGCAAGGTGCACCTTCGGGATCGCAACCGGACACCGTCTGACTCACCCGCCGAGAGGAGAGGACCGATGGCAAGAGGAGGATGTCGTGTTTGATGAAGTAGGTGGTCACTGAGGGGATGGGATTGGCAGAGTCCCCGACATGATGGACTCAACCCTGCTGGCAACTATGAGGATGACCCAGGACCAAGCAACACGTTGATCTTTGTCCACAAGGCCATCAGGCGGTGGACTCACTTTGATACCAACTGAACACGGCGGCGGCGGCCACTCACACCTGCTTTACATCACATGCAGTCAACATAGCACCTGCTAAGTTCCAGGCGGGCTCTCCTAGTGGTACCCAGGCTAGAGGCCTTGGGTCGTTACGTATTTGGCTACTAGCTCAAAGGCCGGAGTTGAGGCAATCCAGAAGTGTCTCAGAATCAAAGCCTGGCAATCTACTTCTGTGAGATCTCAGCCTTTGAAAACCTCCAGACACCCAATTCTACTCTGACACACCCGAGGCCACCTCCACACCACCAGCAGGTGCCAGGCTCTGTGGGACACCCCGGGGTGTCCCGCAATTCATAAGAGAGACACAGCCCCCTTTTACTGTCACGGGGACACAGACATGGGTGCTGAACACAAGTGTGGTGACGTTACAGTGAGGGAGCATTAGTGCCGCTGTCTACAACGGGGCAGTTGACTTAGTGACAGGCTGAGACCTGTTAGGAAAGCAAGCTCATACCCCGCAGATGCCTAGCGCAGCAAGGAGGAAGCAACAAGAGATAGACGACGGGATCCTTGATCTTAAGGGGCTTATAATCATTGGAGATACACGAAGAAGCTGTCTTCTTCAAAATCAGTGTGCTTGATCTGATCTTGAATATGGTGATCCTCCCTAGACTGCATTTTAAGATCCTCTTTCTGTTAGCAGTAGCCATCCACTCCTCTCCACACCTGTAATGCCACGGTCACCTCCACACCTGTAATGCCACAGTTCTCCTGAGAGAAGGAAGCAAGTGTACCCTCCTTGCTCATTTGTCAGCAACAGAGGCTCTGTGTCTTCCGGAGTGCAAGTGCGAGAGAGAGAGAGAGAGAGAGAGAGAGAGAGAGAGAGAGAGAGAGAGGCAGCTACAGGGGACAGGCCATTTGCCAGGCCCCAAATAAACTTCTCTAGAAGCCTGGGATTAAGGGTCCTCTTCACTGTGAGACTTCCTTTATGGATTGGGATTTGATTTCCTTCAACTGATGTGTCCTGACTCTCCACTTCTCACCGGGCAGTTCTAGTCTGCCCTTTTGGGTCACTATAAGTCAGAATCGACTCGGCGATGGCAGTAAGTTTGGTTTTTCAGATCCACTTCATGCCAGGCTCTGTGCATCCCTATTGCCCAAGGGTTTACAGGCAAGTTATCAAAGCGAGACAAATCGCCTGGCCATGGAAAATGGTGCCACCGAGTGCTGAGTCGAGATTGCGTCAGATGCCACGACCGCTAGGCAAGGGCTCCGTCACGGAGCTTGGAGATGGGGGCTTCTCGGAAGAATGGAGTATTCAAGTTGGGTCCTGACAGATGACGAGGCATTAGCAACACGGTGGCTGCCACAAAGGGCTCAAGCATAACAACTGTTGTGAGGTCGCCACAGAACCAGGCAGTGCTTCCTTCCGGTGGGCACAGGGTCCCTCTGAGGAGGATCCGGCTCGGGGGCACCGAATAATAACTGGAACAGTTAGAAAGAGAAGGGAGCAAGGCTGTCCTAGAAAGAGACGACCGTGGCCGTCTGGGAACGAGGAAGGCCAAGAGAAGAATGACAGCTGCCCCTAGAATGTGGATGAGGTGGCACTGGAGGAGGAGTGGGAAGTTGGGAAAATCAAGAGCGAGTGACCTAGGGAACGTTGAAAAAGGGGAATTCCAAGAACAAGGTCAACAGTCAGTGACTGAGTAAGGAAAGGTCTGAGCACCATCCAGTTTGGCAACTAGAACAGGGTTTGTGAGAGGTTCCCGTGCCTCTCAGCGCTCCCGCGGGAGGAACAGGATTGGTGTGTTTCAAAAGTGGTGGGTGGTAAGCCAGAGGGCAGGGGGTGAAGACGGAATGGGAGTCAAGCAAGTCGAGACGGATAGAAGAGACTCTGTCAAGAGACACTAACAGGTTTGCCTGCCCCGGCCCCCCAAAAACGACACACAGGTTTGGACCTGTTTCAATGCTGAGAGAACAAGCCAGTAGAAAAGGGAGAGATCAGCAGAAAACAAAAATCATTCAGAATTTCCCACAGATCCTGAAGGAGGAGTGATTTCACCTTGTTAGGTGGGGCAGATACAGGTAAAGCGTAAGACAAAGTGAGAACCAGATAGACTTCCTGTCAGGTGTCTATTTTCTTTATCTTAGTGGAAACAAGACAATTTGCTAAGAGTGAGGAGGAGTGGAGGGAATTTAAGGGAGATCGAATTGATCAGTCCTATAATGAGGGCGAGACTATTGAAGTGTGTGGCAAAGATTGCCAGGTGATTCTAAGACTCCACGGAGGCTGGGTCAGTGGAACCATGGCATAGCAGTGGGCTCGGCTGTATGATGGTCCCCAGCACCCCTCAGACCGCCCAGGGGCAGAGCTGAAATGCTAGGACCGGAGGAAAGAGAACAAGGAAGCATTTGAGTGTTGGGTTGTGGTTTCCAACCCGGGCAGGAAGAATGAAGGAAAAGTGGTCTGAGTAAGTCTGATAGGTGAGGGGCTATTGAACAAGTTCAGCGACCAAAAGTCTGATTAGACATAGAGGGAGAAAGGGAACAGATGTTACGGTCAGTGCTCTCCAAGAGTGAGATACTGCGCGTGTTGAGCACGGACGGAATCTCTCACCGTTGCCATTGTCACGGTGATTTTGAGTCAGAGTGACTCCAAGGAGGTCCTAGGTGGTGGTCTTTGTGGGAATAGATCCCCATTCTTTGCTCCCACAGAGCAGCTGGTGGGTTCGCCCTGGAGACACTTCGGTCAGCCACTGAGCACTTACCCATTAAGCCACCAGAGCTCCAAAAGGAAGGTTAACCTGATCCCCACAAATCCTTCCCACCCACTGGTGTTTGTCCACAGCACTGAGGAGTTAATAACAAAGTAGAGCACATATATATATATATCACGGTCACCATCATCAAGTCGATTCCAACTCACATCTAAACTGTAGGCACCACCCCATGATTCTGAGCCACTGGCAGGACCAGAGCCACACGGGGAAGAGCCTGGAAAGCCTGCAAGCCAAACTGCGCAGGGAACCGCTCCGGAGCACCATGACCCTGAGTACTGAGAGCCTGTTACAGGCCGTGTAGCTGAAATTGTGCGGGAGGAGGAAGAGAAGTTGCCAAGGAGTGGACCTGACTCATGGTGCAAAGTAAAGCAACCCAACCCGAGAATCCCTTTAATGCTTTTCCAGCTTCAGGAAGCAAGCAAGAGACCAGTTATCCCCTGAAGCCAGCCCTTTCTGTCACCAATCTTATTTCATGGCAAAGCTTTAAAACAAATGTGTGTGGGGAGGGGGGGAGGGGGGCAGAGTGGGGCGGTGCAGATAGGATCGTGTAAGAAGATAGAACCAGACACAGTCCACCCAAACTTGACCTCAGGCACCTCTTTAAGTTTCACGTACCTCTTCTGTGGGTTGGATTCATAACAAAGCCACCGTTCTCTCTTTCAAGGACTGTGCTTGTAGGTGTGGCCCAGCAAACACAGAACGGAATTGTATTAAATGAATTCAGTAAGCAGGTCCCGGATCACCCATGCCACCCTTCTACGGCACTGCCCGCAGGAGCCCTGGTGGTACAGAGGGTTAGGTGCTGGGCTACAATTTGAACCTATTGGGGGCCACTCCTTGGGAGAAAGATGAGGCAGTCTACTCCCATGAAGATTTATAGTCTAGGGGCCCTTGGGGAGCAGTTCTACCCTGTCCCATCGGGTCATTGTGAGACGGAATGGACCCAGAAGAGCTGCGCCGTGCTGATCAACCTGCAGGCACCGCTCTCAACCGCGGCCTTCCCTGTGGGTGGTCCTCCCCCTTGCGGGGACATGTCCACATCCCCACGCTTGGCTACATTCCTCTCCACCTCACCAACCACAGCACAGTGCCCATTGTTGTCCCCAAAGCCACTTGTTGCTATTAATAGCTCAAGGTTGTGACTAATTGACTGTTGCAAAGATAAATTATTGGGAATTCAAGGTTATTCCTCATAATAACATCATCCTGATTTACTCGTACTCTGCCGACATGCTCACTGATGACACTGAATAGCATGCAGGCATGTCACACAAGCCTGGTCACACTCAAAAGCTCACGACTTGTGTGGTTGTCAACCATGATGAGTTCTGCTGGAGGGAAACACGGAGAACTTCCTTCCAGAAAACAGGAAGTTAGGCCTTTGATTCTACTGTTGCATTAAACCCAAGACTAGCCTTTAAGAAGGGGATGGGGGTGGGGCAGTACACCATCACATCATCATCTCTGTTTTCCTGGAGTTCATCATGGTCTTGGCACCAGCCTGTCTGTATCGTTTCAGTTGACTACATCCACGAGCCGAGTGACTGGACCACACAAGATACCTGTAGTCTCTATCAAGCTGAGATGATTATTGAGTCTTTAGTGAGAGCTGAATAAGATTTGCCTCAATGGAGCCTCCCAATAATCCCTTTGGATGGAAACTATTATCATTCCCATTTTACAGATGAAGAAACTGATGTTCAAAAAGATGAAGCGATTTTCCCAGAGCCCTGGAATCAGTAAGGCATGGATTCCCACCCAGATGGTATAATTCCAAAGCCCATATATGTAACCCATGCTGTCTTCCTCTAAAAAGGTCAATGGGATTAAAACCCATGTCAACTACCTGGCTGGGGGGGGGTGTTCTCCTGGCCTGGAAAGCCTTCCCTGCACTTCTCTACTTATCAAAGCCCTACTCACCCTGTATGGTTTTGCCTCCACTGGTCTGTCTGGGAAACTCTTCTCCCCTCTGGGCTAGCCCTCCTCTGCGCTCGGGCAGCACTCAGCTCCCATCTCTGCCAGAACCCTGGAGTCAGCTGACGCATTATTAAGTGCCGCCTGTCTCCACATGGAACTTCTTTTGTATACTTTTTGGAGCTATATACAATGTGTGTGCTGGGGTAGGGCCATCCTTCAAGTTCTCGGAGACCCACAATGTCCCTCTCATCTGGCAGGCCACACCCCGACCTCTGATGCAGTATGAAACCACAGCAGAGTGTTTTGCACAAGGTAGGCATTCAGTGGATATTTGTGGTAGTAGAAATGGGTTTTGCATAGGAAAACACTGCCTTTGGAGCAGGGGGTGGGGAAAGCTAAGCTGAAACGGCAGCACCTTCACTGTGTGGCTGGGTGATCCTGGGCACATTATTGAATCTTGGAAGGCCTCTGCTTCCTCCTCGGTCATCATGCTGGCCATCCAGACGCACAGCCCAGGGGGTGGTTAGGTTACGCGAGATCCTGTATGCACTTCAGCCTCCCAGCACCTCCTCTACCGCAGCTGATTTATCATCAAGGAACTCTGAAGAGATCGCTGACCCCTTCCCATGCAAGAGAACACTCTGAGACCATCAAGGGTTTGACATCGGAAACACGGTGCCTCTCTCCAGAGGCTTATGAAGAATAGACTAATATGAGATTGCCAAGAAGCGAGAGACTCCTAGGAAAGATGCTCAGGGCCCAATATGTAATTGATGACTCCATCAACATCATCAGCAATCAGAGGGCAGGAGTTCGGAGGAGGGCAAACATGCTGTGTGCTGAGGAGCCTGAGAACGTGGGCTCCACGCTGAGTTAAGGGATGCCAGAAGGGGGTCGAGGAGGCAGGGTGGCTTCTGTGACACAGTGGGGGTGGGGGGTAGCTAGGGCTCTGAGACAGTAGTGGGAGTCTGCCTCAGGCCTCCAGGGATGGATCAGGGAGAGACAGAGCAGGTGTCAGAAGCGGAGATGGTACAGACTCCGGAACACGCTCTGTTAACCGAAGCTCAGCGTCAGCGGGAGAGAAATTGGGGCTGGTAGAGATCCTGTTGATTTTCCAGAGAAAATGGCTCTCTGGATTTCCATGCTAAACCTCGCCATTTTCAAGTGTTAAGACAGGTCTGAGAACATTTCTTTTTCTTTTAATGCTCACATGACACATGAACACAGGAGAGAATCAATGTGTGAGCCACAGCTTAGAACGCCTGCCATTGGAAATGAGGGAGAAGTGGGGAGGGGAGGAGGCGGGGGAGGTGAAAAGACAAGCGTGCCAGGTTCAAGAACCCAGTCTTCTTTCTGAAAACACAGGACCAGGAGAGGACGCCACCTAAGCACCTCCCATACGGGGGGATCATGTGATTCATAACGATTTTTATCATCATATTAAAAATAAGCCTCAACACACTGCCACTGCGTCCATCTGAGTCATGGTGACCCTGTAAGACAGGGGAGAATGCCCCTGTCAGTGTCCAAGACGGAAAGTCTTCACAGGAGGAGCAAGCCTCGGCTTTCTCTTGAGGACCTGGCTGGTGGTTTCGAATTGCCAACCTTGCAGTTAGCAACCTAACTTAGAACCACGATGCTGCCCAGGATCCTTTTTATTATCAGCGGCATTTCCTATCTGTCACTCTGAATGCGTTTGTCTAAGAAATCTACTCTATTTACCATCATGGCCCTGCTTTATTTACCGGCAAGGATAGGAAAACCTGGAGATTAGTTCCTAATTTTTAGACACTTTAGATGTCTTTGTTTTAAATGTGCCACAGAAACTTCATCTGTCAATGGGGGTTGAATTGGGTAATATGAAAAAGGTCCCTGTAATTCTATGCAGAAGAAAATTAATGAGTTCTTAATTGGTCTATAACAACATCATGATTTTTTTTTCTTTCGAAAAACTTGGCCTTAATGTCATTTTTTTCCCCATCAGTGATCTGTCTAAGACCTAATTATCACTCCTGTTTTACAGAGAAGACAGCTGAGGCTCAGCTAGGGCAATGTAACTAGTGAGCTCATGATCACACACAGAGCAGTAGCAGAGTGGGCTTGTAACCTATGTGGGAACACCCGCTTCCAAGTCTAAGGAATCCTATGGATTCGATATTGGGCTGCTAACCACAACGTTGTCGGTTCAGACCCACCAGCTGCTCCATGGGGAAGAGATGTGGCTGTCTATGAATACGAGGCTGGCCATAAAGTTAGGGTCACCACGTGTCAGAATCAACATGATTGCAGGGGGTGGGGAGGTCTACACTCTATACCCAACATGCCTCAGGACACTGGGTATTCAAAGAGAAGCCTGGTATGTGGGTGGTGGCCTTTGGTTCCTGAGGAGAATTTGATCTGTCTGTGAAAGAAGGAATAAATCTTTTGTGGATCAGGGCTGGGGATGGGAGTGGCAATACAGAGGGGTGAGGAGGAGGTGTGTGAAGAGACAAGTATATACATTCTTCATATCCTTACCTTTTTCTGTAGGTAATCCTCTAAGCTTCCCATAGCCAGGGATTTCACGGCGTCTCACTCAACTCGGAGCAAAGCAACAGCTTCCTGGTTGGTTTCTCTGTGGGAGGACAGCACTCTGGCTCGGCGGGGGCAGTCTCTGAACATGTGCTGGGGCCGGAGACCCTTCTTCTCAATTCTCCTTTCGGGTTCTCATTCCCAAACTGTGAAGCCCCATCTGTCATCTTTTGTGGAGAGACGAAAGAGAGAGAGAGAGAGTTGAAATGTAATCTACGGCCAAGCTATTTTCCCTTTCAGCTCTAACTGGTACTTTGACCGGAGGGGACTTGCCAACGCCGTAGTTCCCACCCAAACACCGAAGGTTTCCTCAAGACAGAGGGGCCCTGGCAGTGACTGCTCCCGTTTTGCCGGTCCCTCATCCCGACACAGCCGAGCTCGGTCCCTTCTAGCTTCTTGTCCTTCTCCGGTTGACAGTCCACAATCCCGGCCCTCCAATCCCGAAAACCCCACTGATTGATTGACCTCCTTTACAATCAACAAATAGAAAACGGGCAAATAGCCCGCCTGGTGCTCATCAATGGGCCTAAAGCAGGTGACCAGCTCCTGTCCACCAAATCTGGCACCACAGTGTACGTGCAGAAAAGCTCACACATGCGTACGTGTATGTCCACACACACACACTTTCTCTCTCTGCCTCCCTCGCTCCCTCCTCCCTCTCTCTGCCTCCCCCCCAGGAAAGGCAGGACAGGACTCCCTCTGCTCACCTGCTGCTGACCTTTGAGCATAATTCCCCTCTTCCCCCTTGAAAGCTGCCAGTAAAAATAACGTCAGTGTAAACAGGCCCCTTGAGCGTGCAGGGAACACCCACGTCTGGTTTTGCCAGCAAAACTCAGGTTGGAAAACAGCTCGGGCAGTCAATTCCCAGACTGGCAGGCCGGGGCTAGTTTGACTCCAGGGGAAAAGGGAAAAGAAAAAATTCCCAATCGCCTGCTCCCCGTGAAGCTTGTCTGCACCACTGACGGAGTGCTCTCAGCTGGCTGCCAGGAAGGAAGGAAGGAAGGACAGAGCCTGTGCGAGCCCAGCTCACTCCGCACAAGTTCCAGCGGCGGGTGTCTGTCCAGACGAGCCTCCTGAGCAAGGCTTCTGATGACTCAGGAAGCCGGTGGGGCCTGCAGCCACCTGCGGCCCTGGGATTTGCATATCACCTGGCTTGGCCCCTGGACACCTCCCTGGCTGCTCTCTGCCCCACCTCCCTCCCGGGACTAGGTCCAGGGTGCCGTCAGCTCCCACAGACATCCGAGACAAATCCATGGCCCACGTTCCCATTCTGAAGCAATAGCCTCTCCAGCGGCCTCTAATGACAGCCCCCCACCCCCGTCTACGTGCCCTTGACTCTCCCTGTCATTGTCCATCTCCTGCTGTGCGCACCACACGCTCCAGTGTATCTCCGAACCTCATTCCCTCGACTGCTCTTGCCACCGTTCCCTTGTTCACCCCCCACTTTTCACGAGGGGGACCCGAGTCCTGTACCTCTGAACTGCCCACCATCCGGGGACGTCTCTCCTCCTGACTGCCAGCTTCGCGAAAGCCCTGTGATTCCAGGTGCGCTGTTTTGGTTCCTACCCCGGCGGCTTTCCCTGTAATCATTAACTACCGGGCCCTGTCCTAGGCTGAGCCCACTCCCTGGTGTTCGAGGCTGACCTCCCGTGCCCGTCCTCAGATGCTCGAAGTTGCCTCGTTTCTGTGCTTGCGGCAATGGCTTCCGTTGTCTGTGGAATTGCTCTCAGGCACTGTGGCCGGCGGGAGGCCTGCCAGCTAGGAACAGGGGAAACAATGACTGGGCCCCGGAGAAGGAGCACAAAGAGGCACGTGCTGACCGCAGTCAGAGGTTACCAGGGTGCTGCAACCAGGAAACGTTGGATCCAGCACCCATCAGCCCTATATGACAGAGTAGGGGTGCCCCGAGAGTTCCCAAGACGGAAATCTTGATGGGAGCAGGGAGCCAGGGCTTTTCCCTGTGGACTCAGACCACCAGCCGTTTAGGTTAGCAGGGGAGCACCGAACCAACCACCGCACCTCTGGGACTCCTCATCTGGGAAATAGCGGTTCAGTCTACACCCAGTCCAGTCCCTGGTTCTGGGACGTCCACTGCTTCCTTGTGGGAAAGGTCCTGAAACATAGGGCAGTCCCACAAAGGCAGGCTTTCCGAACAGCTCGGCCAGGACTTGATCTTTGTAGATACAGCCCCCTCCCTAACTGGGTGACTCTTAGGTGAAGATATAGGTATTGAGTAACTCCCATGGCCCTACTGGGGAGGAGGGATTCTGGCCACTGAGACAGTTAAAATGAGCTCAGTTTTCCCTGGTTCCTTCTTACTGCCCAAACGCACTGCCATCGAGTCAATTCCCACCCACAGTGACCCTACAGGTCAACGTAGGGCTGCCCCTGGGGGTTTCCGAGCCGCTAAAGCAGCGGTTCTCAACCTGTGGGTCGCGACCCCTTTGGGCGTCGAACAATCCTTTCACAGGGGTTGCCTGCTTCATAACAGTAGCAAAATTACAGTTATGAAGTAGCAACAAAAATAATTTTTTTTTGAAAATAATTTTATGGTTGGGGGGTCACTACAACATAAGGAACTATTAAAGGGTTGCGGCATTAGGAAGGTTGAGAACCACTGCTCTAAATCTTCAAGTAGAAAGCCTCATCTTTCTCCCACGAAGTGGCTGGTGGTTTTGAACTGCTGACCTTGTGATTAGCAGCCTGCTATGCCACCAGGGCCCCCATGTTCCTCAGGAAGTCAGTATCCTCCGATCCCCTGATTCACACCAAAAGCAAGTGTCCAAAATAAACCACCTGGGCTCAATTTCTGTTGTGAGACCAAGGAGTGATTTTTGGAAGTGGGCTAGCTTCACAAAGAGACAAATCCATTGCCACGAACTAGATTGTGACTCACAGAGATCTGACAGGACAGAGTAGAATTGCCCCGGCAGAGTTTCCGTACATCTTTAGTGAAGTCCATTGCCAAATCTTTCTCCCGATGATGCGTTCAGACTTTTGGTAGGCAACTGAGTTCTCTAACCCATGTGCTAGTAGGGCTCCTACTGATTTATCCAGTCCTGAGAAGGAGAATTGGATCAATTTGCTTAATCCAATCTATAGAGTTTATATCTTCCATACATAATGGCAAGGAAGTTCACCACAGTCACAAATGCAAATGCTGACTTATTCTTCCACAGATTCCCTTCAGTCCTGCTGGATGCAGCTCTGAGGACTCAGAGGACCAGAGAGATTGTCCTCTGGACTGATGGAACGAGATCGTGAACAACCAAGACCAGACTCGCGTCAACTCTGCATCTCTGCCTGCAGGTGCTGCCCTCCGTGCCTGCGGGACCCGGTTAATAGCACTGAATGGTTAGTTGACTGCTGCCCTAAAGCGTGAAAGTGACATTTTAAGTTTTATTGACATCCGATTCACATTCCTCCAACCCAAGAGTTCAATCCCATCAGCAAGCGTTGTACAATCATCACCACAATCGGTTTTCGAACATTTTCTTACTGTAAAGTGACATTTTAACAGGTAAGAGGACATATCTTAGCTACCTGCATAGCTCACTTTGTGAATTATGAATTTAATGTCATACATGTACCTGTGACGTCTTGAATTACAATTACCTTTTATAAAAAGAACTAAGACTACCACAGAGCCTGGCACAGAAAAGGAGCTAAACAAATATTCATCTTCTTACCTCAAACAGCTGACAGATTTTATTAACAATTGGTGGTAGATGACTTCTTCCCTGGGTCTGTTGGGTGCCCCTATGCTCATGCATCAAACCCTTTCCTATCCTGCTTCCTAAAGGATTGCAGCTAATGCTTCAGGGGCTGTTGGTACCCAATTCCAGCCCAGTGATAGGGGTCTCTTTTGAGTGATCAGGCCTGTGCCAACTGCCTGGAATCATTTATGTTGCTTGTAGCTGATTTCCCCCACCCCCTCCCTTTTGCTGAGCTGTAACATGCCTTGAGTGAATATATTGCCGTTTCACATCTATTTAATGGTGAATGAATACTTCTTTCCAGAAAAAGAGAAATCGCCATTTGAACACAGACAGTTCAGTAGCATTAGGAACTTCTACCATGTTGTTCAGCCATGACTCCACTCAGACATCTTCCCCCCCCTTCACAGGAGCTCAATGCTCTCAAGCAATGGCTCCCTCTTTCCTCCTCCCTCCCACCACTGGCAACTTCTCAGAGTCTTGGGAAAAGGACCTTCTTTACATGTATGGGAACAATTCTCCAGGCATGATCTCCCACTGGGCTGGTCTTTATGGTTCCCCCACCGCAGAAATGGTAACTGAGAGGATGGCCTAAGGCACTGGATGGTTTGGAGGGGATCTTGTCTGGATAAAATGAGAAGGAATCCCAAACTCAAAGGTTAACATGGGCCGGGCAGGTAATAAGATAAATTAGAGTAGGGTAAAACAATGGAAAGAGGTGGGGCATTTACTGGATTATAAAACAAAACAAAAGCACCAGGCATCATCATGCTGACGGAGCCGGCTATCAAAAGATAGAGCGTCTGGGGTCTTAAAGGCTTGAAGGTAAACAAGC